GAAATAATCAAGAAGCCTTCGGCTCCATGCAGCTGCAGAAATAATTTAGTAGCCTTCAGCTCCATGCAGCTGCGGAAATAATCAAGAAGCCTTAGGCTCCATGCAGCTGCAGAAATAATCAAGTAGCCTTCGGCTCCATGCAGCTGCAGAAAAAATCAAGTAGCCTTCGGCTGCATGCAGCTGCAGAAATAATCAAGAAGCCTTAGGCTCCATGCAGCTGCAGAAATAAACTAGTAGCCTTCGGCTCCATGCAGCTGCAGAAATAATCAAAAAGCCTTAGGCTCCATGCAGCTGCAGAAATAATCAAGTAGCCTTCAGCTCCATGCAGCTGCAGAAATAATCAAGTAGCCATCGGCTGCATACAGTTGCAGAACTATTCAAGAAACCTTTGGCTACATGCAGCTGCAGAAAAAAATCAAGTAGCCTTCGGCTCCATGCAGCTGCAGAAATAAATCAAGTAGCCTTCGGCTCCATGCAGCTGCAGAAATAAACAAGTGGCCTTCGGCTACTTGCAACTGCAGAAATATTCAAGTAGCCTTCAGCTCCATGCAGCTGCAGAAAAAAAAAATCAAGTAGCCTTCGGCTCCATGCAGATGCAGAAATAATCAAGTAGCCGAAAGCTACATGCAGCTATAGAAAGAATCAAGAAGCCTTCGGCTCCATGCAGATGAAGAAATAATAAAGTAGGCCTTAAGCTACATGCAGCTGCAGAAATAATCAAGTAGCCATCGGCTATATGCAGCTGCAGAAATAATCAAGTAGCCTTCGGCTGCATGCAGCTGCAGAAATAATCAAGAATCCTTCAGCTCCATGCAGATGCAGAAATAATCTAGTAGCCTTCAGCTCCATGCAGCTGCAGAAATGATCAAGTAGCCTTCGGCTCAATGAAGTTGCAGAAATAATAAAGTAGCCTTCGGCTAAAAACAGCTGCCGAAATAATTGGAGTAGCCAGTGGCTATATGCAGCTGCAGAAATAATCAAGTAACCTTCGGCTACATGCAGCTGCAGAAATAATAAAGTAGCCTTCGGCTAAAAACAGCTGCCGAAATAATTGGAGTAGCCAGTGGTTATATGCAGCTGCAGAAATAATCAAGTAGCCTTCGGCTACATGCAACTGCAGAAATAATCAAGTAGCCTTCAGCTCCATGCAGCTGCAAAAATATTCAAGTAGCTGTCGGCAACATGCAGCTGCAGAAATAATCAAGTAGCCGAAGACTACATGCAGCTGGAGTAAGAATCAAGAAGCCTTTGGCTCCATGCAGCTGCAGAAATAATCAAGTAGTCTTTGGCTGCATGCAGCTGCACTGACCCACAGAACCTCACTGACCTACAGAACCTCAATGACCCACAGAACCTCACTGACCAACTAAACCTCACTGACCTACAGAACCTCACTAACCTACAAAACCTCACTGACCCACAGATCCTCACTGACCCACAGAACCTCACTGACCTACAGATCTTCACTGATCTACAGAAGTTCAATGATCCACAGAACCTCACTGACCTATAGAACCTCACAAAACCTATAGAACCCCACTGGCCTACAGAGCCTCAGTGACCTGAAGAACCTCTGTGACCTACTGAAGCTCAATGACCTTCAGAATCTCACTGACCTACAGCACCTCACTGACCAACTGAACCTCACTGACCCACAGAACCTCACTGACCAACTGAACCTCACTGACTTACAGAACCTCACTGACCTACAGAACCTCACTGGTCTACAGAACCTCACTGACCTACAGCACCTCACTGACCAACTGAACCTCACTGACCAACTGAACCTCACTGACCCACAGAACCTCACTGACCAACTGAACCTCACTGACTTACAGAACCTCTGTGACCTACAGAATCTCGCTGACCTACACAAGTGAGGTCAATGAACAAGGCCAGGCTGATCCTGTCAGATCCTGATCACCCACTCCATGGTGAGTTGTAGTGTCTTTGAATAAAAACAAACAGAATATTTTTTATCTAGAAATGGCTGATCATTCATTTTTCAGAAAGAGCCGGTGTGAGGAGAGCGGCTGTGGTTTGGATTATTTTACACATAATCTTAATAAAAGTGAGCTGTGTGTGCACATTTACCTGAGATGACTCCGCCTCTTCCTCCTCATCACCTCGCTGCCTGAACAGGAAGTACTCGCTGGGCTGCGACGGCGTGGGGCTTTCTTTGCTGTTGTTCTCCGAACAGCTGTTGACCGAAGACCCCACGGGACTCGGGGACGACTGGGACGAAAGGTCACAGGTCACCAGTTTATAGTAGTTCTGTGTGGCGACAACCAGGCGCGCCTGACTCTGCAGACAGGAAGTGAGGTCACCAGACGACCAGGCCTGAGGAGGGTGGAAGGAATTGCAGTTGGCATCGAGGTCAAGGGAGCCCTGGTGCTCTGCAGAGCAGGAGCAGGTAGAGGAGCTGCACAGGTGAGGTTCATGGATCAGAGGAAAGTTGTTGGACAAATCGGGCAACTGTTTCTGCTGTGAGTAGGGGGGCTCGGTTGGGGAGGTGTGAAGGTCCAGGTAGAATGCCTCTCCGATTGAACCTGGAGAGATGCAGGAGTGGTCAGTGGAGCAGTTGAAGTTGGTGGACCCCACCGCCTGAGGCTTCTGGGGGACACCGTTGTTCATCTTGTTGAAAATGGTGCTGAAATTGACGAGGACACCATCAGAACTGTTGCAGGACGAGTCGCTGCCATAACCCTGCTGGAACTCCGAGAAGGTCTCAGAGAATGGTTCAGGGAACTGCTCAGGGTAGTTCTGGGAGAGAGCGTAGCAGGAGAAGTTCTGGGCAGAGGAGCTGGATGAGAAGGAATCCGTCTTGCTGCTTTGTCCGCATCTCATTAGATGATCTTCGTCGTCTTCATCATCGTCATCTGCCCAGTCTTGCTCTCTGCAGTCCATGGACATGTTGGAGTCTCTGCTTCCAGGGTGGTGCTGGCCGTCCAGGCCTAGGATGTCCAGATCCTCTAGGCGGTTGGACAGATCCGAGGCAGCTCCTCTCAGGTATTCCCGGCTGCTTCCAACCCCGGAGCTGTGCAACAAGAAGGACTCCGAAGCAAAATCCAAATTGTGCAAATGAAAAGGAACCATCGCGTCATCAAGGGCAGAGTTTGTGTCACTATGGAGATGAAAGGAGGAGTCTTCCAAATAACCATGGAGGTTGTCTCCATCATCTTCATCGTCTTCATCATCGTCTCCTGCGTTCAGCAGGAATGGATTGTGACGTAAAGGATTCCTGTTCCTGGGTTTGGCTCTGGGCAGTGTGTGAGCCGTTATTAGCTGCTCCTCAGAGTTACTTGAGGTAAACGATGAGTCATCACTTGCCGTGCTCCCCCCTCTTCTACCTCCCTTGTCCCCTCGTCCTCCATCATGGGAGGACCAGGAGCCAGTGGAGGTCTGGATCAGGCTGCTGTAGAATAGAGCCTCCCTCTGAAGAACGTCTCTCTCAGGCAGCGAGGTGGTGCGACTCAACCCCAGGTTCTCCGGGGGGCTGAGTGGGTTACACCTCTTCAGTGAGCTCCCACACCCCCCCTGACGCCCCCCTGAAACCTGACAGTGCACCAGGGGGATGTGATGCACTATCAGGGTCTCACCGGACAGTTTAGGGGGGCTATCCATGGCCCAACTAGGAGAAGGGGGGACGGTTGTGGAAATGTAGAGAAAATGAAGGCCCTCTGAGGGTGAAGGAAAAGAAAGTTGAAGGGCGACTCGTTGGCAAATATTTTCACACAGCTAGACCCAGATCTGCAAGACCACCTGCGATCTGGAAGGAGAGGTCAGGGAAGTCTACACCATGGTCAGAGTGGGACATCTGGATGGAAAAAAAAAACAGAAATAAAACAATTAAACATGTTATTAAAGCAGGAAACTAACTACACACACGTTAATTCAACCACTCAGAACTTTCTTTTTCCCATATTTTATTCCATTTGAGTCCTTTTTAGGTTATTTAAAGTCAATAGCATTACAATGGAATTTTTAAGATTATAACCAGTAAGTTCAATCTTTTGTCCACTAATTATTAAATTTGAAGTTCCTTTATTCACAGATATTTATATATAGATTTATCGACTGAGATAAAGTGGAAGATCATTTCTGCTTTATACATAGTTCTCATGTGAAGTGTACACAAACTCATTCCACCACATGTACCACATGAGATGCAAATGACAAATAAATCTCTCTGACTCTGAAAAAGCAGACATTTGTATATATTTTTGTGTACATTTATTTTTATTGAAAGTATTTGACAAACTTTTTTTATTTATTTTTTTTATTATTCAATATTTTACCAACAGAATAGTCAAGTAGCAGCCTGTTTATTGTGCGATTTGTTAAGTCCGTCAAATGTTCAATTTTGGAATAAAGTGGAAATTAAAACTTTTTTTTGCCGATTCATCCATTAACCCCAAAAAACATTTGACAGATTAATTGATTATTAAAATAGTTGTTAGTTGCAACCACTAGACTGAGGAACAGCTTCTACCCTGAGGCTGTTAGACTCATGAATCTCTAACTAGAATAATCACTGTGAAAAACCACATCATGTTGCTGCTGATCTGTTTCATGTTGCTGCTGATCTGTTTCATGTTGCTGCTGATCTGTTTCATGTTGATGTGTTCATGTGTGCTCATCTGCACACGCAAACTCACGTTCGTGCTGCTGTTCGATGTTTTTATGTTATGAGTACTTAGTGTATATTTAGTTGATGTTTTTCTTAGTTCATATCTTTGATCTTATTACCGTTTTTATTTTACATTTTATTGTTGGATGTAACTGGGACCCTGTGTACATAATTTCGCTCCACCACATGTGGTACGAATAACAATAAAGAAACTCTGACTCTAAGTCTATAGCAGCATAACAATCCAACCCTAACTGTAGGATTTATCAAGAAGGAAAGTCTTAAAACTGGACAATGTGTCAGCCTCATGGACAGAAACTGGAAGTTGGTTCCACAAGAGA